GGGATCCTATGACCCCAGCTGACTTCCTGCCCTTTGGGCAGGGGGCTGGACTCGATGATCTTCCGAGGTCCCTTCCAGCCCTAATGTCTATGAAATCTATGAAATCTTTTATTAGACCAACCCAAATAGTTGGAGAAAAGTTATTAAGCAAGCTTTCGGGTTCAAAAACTCTTCGTCAGGCTAAGGAAGTTATATTTGAAGCATTCAGCACATAAATTAAAAATTAGTTTTCAAAGCTTTTGGAATTCACCTTAAGAAAGATTTCAGGCACTACATTTTCATGTGTTTGTTAAACACAGGTGGGAGAGCATCAAGGCTGATCCTGCCCTTCTCTAGCTGTGGGCTTTGGTAAGCAGCATCATGGAGTGTTGGGCTTAGCTGGGGACAGGGGCACCAACAGGCTGGTCCCCCTTCTTCCAGCACCTGCTTCTGGAGTGTGGGAAACCCCTAAGGGGCAGGCGGGGGGCAGGAGTGCCTGGAAACAGCAGTGGGTTTCCAGCTGACTTGGGGGTGGTGGAAGCCCCAGAACCACTCTTATCCAGTTCTAGCTGGGGGCTGCAGAGAGCAACTGTGTGCAGTGCTAGGTCCTCTATCTCCTACCTCTCTTTACCCTGCTGGCCTGAGGGTTCCAGCTGTGGGCAGCAGCTGCACAAAGTGACAGGCAGGGCTGGAGATGGCAATGTCTGTGGGTGACCTCCTCCTCCCCCCTCCCCTCTGCTCCCCTCCCTTCCAGGTGCACCTGCTCCCTGTCTGTCCCCTGGATAGCCTCTGCAGTCCAGGGGCAGGTGCTGGAAGGGTGGGGGGGGGGGTGGCCCACTGACACTGCTGTGCCTAGTCCTACCTAGCCCTTTGTGCAGCTGCTTCCCACAGCTAGATCCCCTGGACCAGTGGTGGAAATGCAGTGGAGTGGGGGGGAGAAGGGACTTGACTCTGCCACTGTTGCCAACCCAGCACCCTATGCAACAGCTTCTCACATTCCTCAGCTGGAGTGGGGTAGGCATGGTCCTGGGGCTTTCCCCGCCTCCAGGTCAGTTGGGGCAGCAGGGGGAGGGTGCCCCCATTTCTCACCTGTCCTACTCCAGCCTTCTCATCTGTGGCTCCAGCTGTGCTTCAGATGCTGTAGGGGACCCAAGCATGGGGGAAAATGAGCTGCTGGCATGTGACCATGCCACTGCACCCCTCCCCTGGATCTGCCCCTTGTAGTGCTGGCAACACATCAGTTTCCTATTACCCCAAAATCCTAAAGGAAGGCTTTTTCAAAGCTATTTATGTGTATTTATGATCCAAACAAAAGGTTTTCAAATTCCATTAAATTATTAAATTAATGCCGGTGCTTGTAGAATTTGTAATTTACTATATGTACATATCTAAAAAAGATATCTGCAAACCTACTGGCTGTGTTATAGGAACCAGTCAGATAAAAGTTCCTCAAATACTCAGATTAAGTTCTTCAGTCCCATTCTGGCTGCTGTACGCTGTGTAAAGGATCCCTGAAACTGATGCCAGAGCAGGTGGGCTGGGCTGTTTCTTCAGATGCAGTCCTGGGCAGGCATGTGGGCATTATAGACAACCCCTTAGAGTTGTGGTTCTCAACCTTTTTAGCCTCAAGGCACCCCTCCATAACATTTCGGAATTTAGCAGCACCCTGGTTAAGAATCACTGAGCTTAGAACCTATCTGGTTCCAGGTGAGGGAAGTAGAGGAAAGATTTCATCTTCCATTGTCTGCCCCTTCCTTGCCCATGATCTGTATCCAAGCGGACAAGCATGGCCCCTGCCACTGAGGCTGCTTTTCCAGGGTCTCTCAGGATAGCAACCAGAGATGTGTGCCCTCCTGGTGCCTCCTACCAGTCCTGGGACCATGTGATGAGCTGGGGAGGAGGGGAGACAAACTGGACTGAAAGCCCAGTTCTGCAGCCCGGTGTCCACCTGCCCACCCACAGTAGAGCATGGTGTTCAGAGCACGGAGGTGGGGGTTGAAGGGGTGCAACAGCAGGGATGCCCAGAGGAGCAGCGGTAGTGCTGATGTCTGCAGAATGCTGGTGCAGGTGTCAGGCCCTGGCTGAAGGGAGAAAACGCTTACTTCCTTGCACAGGGGTCAGGCACCACAGCACCCTAAAAAGTTAAGAATCACTGCCTTAGATACCTGCATGGACTTTCATCATGTGAGTGATGGGTGCTGGTGACTAGGACAAGAGACTGCTCCTGTGTTTCTTGTCCTGGCCTGACTTGATTCTAGAAATTAGAGTTGTGGGCCTGCCTCTGAACATGTTGAAATCTCTGGCAAAGTGTTCATTTTCTTTTTTTTCCAGAAGCAAGGTAGAGAGAGAGAAGTTTTACCAGCATTCTGCTTCAAACTTGGAAGTGAAGGCAGGGCTGCTTTAGCACCTTCTTATCCAAATGTATCTTACATTAATGGATACTTAAAACCGTTTGGATTTTGATGGCTTCCTGTTCCCTACCTTCTCCATACTAGCTCCACTACCCCTACTACCCTTTGCTGGTATCTTCCAAAGTTTCTGCATAACACAGTTTGTATAGCACAGTGGGAGCTGAACCTATTTGGTGCTTCTAGGCCCCGTTGCCAATAATGAATAAAAACAGTGATTAAATTGCAGATGAGAAAAGACATACTTTTTAGACAAAAATCTTTTAATAATCCTTAGTTGCATTTTTTTTTAATTGGGCTTTTCCAGAGTTACAGCATTACATCCGTTATGAGTACTTTGGACCAAATAGCAACATTTTAGTGAATGCTGGCATATTTGACATTTTCAGATTATGGTCTGGTTCAAAGTCCTTCAAAACCTTCTTTAAGCAGTTTACATTGTCTGCACATTGAGGAGTCCTGGTCTTGTTTACTTGCAACCCAAGATGAAGGGGAAATAGTAAATAATTTCTATTGAGGAGATAAACCAGCACAGTTTTAAAAAGCTGATGAGACAAACAACAGTAAAAATAAGTGAGAGAGAATTGAAGAGTGCAGATGAATGTCTTTCCGTTTCTCCACACAAACATGTACAAGCCTTTCTGTTATCAAATGGAATGTTATGTTTGTTTGATTTCTTAAATGAATACAAGTAAAAAACGCCACGATAATCTTTTAGTACAGTGGCGCCAAAACTTCTGGTCCCGCAGGCTAGTTGAGTGGTGTGGGGTTGGTCTGGAGGCCAGATCCTGCTCAGGGTCAATCTGTGGGCCAGACCCTATGATGTTTTCTTCCATCCCTGTGATAGCCTCAGTTGCTTTTTCCCTGTGACTACCCTCTCCCTCCAGTGTCCTTCAAGTACATGGTGTGTTGGGGGTGGAAAGAGAATGGAAGGGCACTGACAGGCAACTTCCAACTTTGGGGTAGATGAAGCAAGTTTGAGTGTTACACTGCCTGGGAATGCTGGGAACACACTGTGGAGATATCCATAGTGTGCAGTCATTTGGACTGTGATTTAAGTGCTAGAAATCAGATGTGACCTGTATTCTTTTAATTAAGGTTTGTTTTCTGGTAGCACCCATGTTGGGTGCTGTCCACATGTGCACAAGAAGACACAGGAGTCTGCAAAACCTAAAGGCTGTAGCATGCTATTAGTTTTCTATGCGAGCTTCCCAGTTGACTAGTATCAAGATTTCCATACAGACCAATGGCATCCTGTGTTCTTAAGGATTTCATTTGTTGTCAAGCAGTTGTTAAAATGGCATACATTTATATTATTATTACCAAATTGCCCATCACAAAGGGGGTGGGGGCAGGGGGGAAACTTGCTAACCTTAACCCTAACCCTCACAGCCCCCCCCCCAACGCTGCTGCCGCCTCCCAGAAGCAGGGGGAGAAGGAAGATTGCCCCTCTGCCAGCACCCTGTGCCACCACCACCACCAAGGAGCAAGGCTGGGGGGGCACTGGTTTTGCCCCCTGCTCTGTCTCCTCCATCCCTGCTGCCTTCAGGGAGCAGGGCCAGGGGAGGGAGGGGCGAGGCCAGTGGTGCTGGCCTTGCCCCCGCATCCCCCCGCCCTGCGCTCGGTTTCCTCCATCCCTGCTGTCGTGGAGGTGCTCCACCACTGCTGCCTCCTGTCCAGAAAGCTCTTGGAGCAATGTGATTGGTTATTCCAGTAACCAAGAGAGTTACAGACAGAGAAACGGATGGACTAAGCCCTTTATTATATTAGAATTCTAAGAGTGCTAATAGTGACCAAAAACAGAGAGCTGTTTGCTGGCATTTTCTTTTCTACCAGTGGGGACTTCCAGTATGACATGTCCACAGACTGCAGTTGTAGCAGTATGATGTGGGTAGACCATTGGCCTCTCAAGCAAGTAGAAAATTCCTGACTAGCTTACGTCTGGAGTTGCTTTCGGTATGAGCTTGTGCCACGGGTGGTGGTCTCTCTTTTGTCACGCTCCCTTTTGTCATGCTCCGATGCCAGATTGGTTCAGGGAAGCTGAAGGGAATATGATGATTTGAAACTTGACAAATATTAAATGTTTCACTTTGCTCAAGGCAGGCAAGGTTTTTGGGTAGCTGTAATATGTTTTTTATTAGACCAACTAAATAGTTGGAGAAAAGTTCTTTGCAAGTTTTTGGGCACAAATACCCTTCTTGAGGCACTGGGAGATTCTGCTGCTGCTATGTCAAGTAATTGTTCCATGTAACAGGTAAAAGTGTTTTATTGAAGTGTAGATTTGAGGATTGAGAGCAAACCTTTAGTCTGTCTAGCTGTATGAAGCTGTAACACTTTCAAAGCCCTGTCTCTAACCTTAACCACGTTGCTAATCTTTGCCTTTTTTAATTCCCACCCCTCCCTTCAAGACGTTTTTGCGACACTAACCACTAGATGGTGCTCTTCTATTTAGGTAAAGTGAAACTAGTATTAACTACAAATCACCCAGAAAGAGCATGTTGGAGGCCTCTGGTCTAGGGGCACCCAGCTTTTTAATTGTAGAATACATCTTTGTTCTTTGCCTGACCTGCAGAGTGACATCACTGCCTTTCTTCCTGTTGCACTGTAGCTGCCTGACTCACAGGCTTTGACACTAGCCAGATGGCTGCGATTGGTAGGCGCACAGGCTGCCTGGTACTGCAGTTGATGAAACAGAATAGGAAGACGTTTTATGATCAGCTGCGGGAGCACAATAAGACTGCAGCTTTGCTAGGTAATTACGTTTTCACTGCACACTTTATTCCTCACAGTGAAGGTCACTAGGAAAAAATAGGTTTTTATTTGTGTTGTTTTTTATGTATAATCTTTGATCTTTTATTAGTCAGTAGTCTGCTCCGGAGGATTTTTTTTTTTTTTTAAACCAGTTCTGCAGTCACTCGTGAAAATGACATGTTTATTTATGTTTAATGGTTCTCTTGGGCTGTTCCTTCCTTACCTTCCCCCTCCTTTTGGTCTCCATTTAGTAATACAAAAATGTTTTAGTTTTATACTGAGTTTAGTTTGGAAAAGTCAGAGTTTAGCATGTTAATACAGAGTTCAGTCGTGTTAATACAGGCAGATTTCTGTCAGATATACTCCAGAGTGATTTGGTAATATATGTTACAGTTTGTTATGTGTTTGTTCTTCAGGGGCCAGAAGAGACCGAGCACTTGATTCAGGAAATGTACAAGCCAATCATTTTTGGTACATTTCTGGACACTTGTATTCTGCACTTTATTTTTTTTAAAGAAACATTAGAATAAAATATGTTCTGGAACTGAGACTGGGAATGGTGCACGACTAATAATTAACTACCTTGGGTCTACTCCTGCTCCCACTGAAGCCAGTGGGAGCTTTGTTATTGACTTCAATGGGGTGGGCTTAAGTTCTTGATGTCAGTTATTGCAATAATCTTCTAAACAGACTGTAGCTATGAAAGACTCCTCTATAAGGCAGCTGCATTTCATCCTTCCTATTGTGAAGTAAACAAAACAGTCACCATATGCACGTTATAGCTTATAAAATAAAAAATCCCCACCGCCACATTACTTTTTTCTATATTTAAACCAGCTGGAAAATTGCTTAAATGTATTCCCATGGATAGTTTAAGATGTAAATGAACGTGGAGGGAAAATTTTCACATTTTTCTGATAACTGAAAAGTTTGTTTATTGTAATAAAAATTTAGTTTTGTTCAAACAGCCAAACAAATGAGCATTTTTTTTTAACCATGACTGGTTTTCATCATTCATCACACAGAAATTGTTTTCTTTACTTTTTCTAATTGCAAATTTGAGTTGTCTCACATTTGCTGAGCAGTAACACTTCCTTGTGCCTGGTAACACAAAATGTTGCAGCATTGTATGTTAAGTGTTTACAAACACACACACGCACATATGTGTGCATGTGCACGCATCTAAGGCAGAAGGCAAAAAATGGACTAACCTAACTGTGTTCTCAGATAAAATCATAACCATCAGTTTTGCTATGAATGTATTTAACATTTTTGATGTTTTAATTTATTTTCATTTTTTTTTCTCCCTACTCAGCTCTTGCCCCTGTTCTTTGCCTCTGGTTTTGTTGGTGAGGATATCACAGTGATGTCTGCATTCAACCTGCTGCATTTGGTGACAAAGAGCCAGCCAGTGGCCCTGCGAGCCTGTGGGCTTCCCTCAGGTTGACTGGGTGCTGCTTGTTGTGTCATGCCTAATGAGGGCCCTTTTAGGAATGGGTGACTCTGCTGCAGGAAATGATACAGTATGGTTTGCTAAATTTAGTTTTAGTTCATTAGAGTTCTTCTTTGAAGCTGAAAGTTTCTTATAAATCACTCATTTGCTTTGAGAGTGTTCGTATCTCAGTTCAGAATGCCTTGGAAACATAATCCAGCTTCTTTGCCCAGTATTTTACTGCCTCTTATGTTTGATAGTATCTTCCTGTCCCCTGACACAAACAGTGCTGTCATCCTGAAAATCACAGTTATATTAAATACTGCACACAGTTTTGATAAGAAACTGCTTAGTAACATTTAATATACCAAACATTAAAACACATTTTCCAAAGACATTTAATTAATTACACATACCATACACATGCATCATAATCTCATTACCTAGTTATTTGAATGTTTTTCCACATTTTCATTGTGAATTTACTTTTTAATAGTAGTGCATGGAAAAGCTCAGACAGAAAATGGTCTAAGCTAAAATAAGCTTTTTTTTATTTCCTAAATAATGTGTTTTTCGTTATCTGACACTGTAATTCAGTTGAACAAAAATGATGCTATTGTTGCAGCTGCTCCTTAAAAGGACAACTTTAGAAGAATGAAGCTTTAAAAAAATGCAAAACAAAATAGCTGCACTTCTCTGGGAAATGCCCAGGTCCTGCAGTTGGTTTGATAGAGGTTGCCACAAGCACAAGAGCCCATCCATAGGTATCTGATGGCAGGATGTGGACCTGTTTTATATACCACTTTTTAAATAACAACTTTTGTAATAGCTATGTAATATTAGGGTAGCTTATTTGACTATTTGATGGGAAATTAAAACTGCAGCAGGTTAATTTTTAGTGTCGAAATGTCACCATTTTAAAATCAAATCAATTAAGATGTGGCTGTGGACAATCACTAATTGAACCAGTGAGTGGCATTTTATCCTGGACATTTGTAATACAGCTCTTATTTCCAGGTGAAATGTGTTGTTCCTAATGTTATTAGATGCTTATAGCAGTGGGGGCCAACCTTTTGGGCATGTGTGCTGCAAATGAGCTCTGTACTTTTTACCCTTTCCAAGTGCCACTGCAAGTGCCACTTCAATCCCATTCCCCTGCCCAATCTGTGCTTTGCTTTCTGCTTCATGCTCTATGCTTCCTGCTCAGTCTGCTGTTCATCTCTCCTCTTTGTGCCCTCCTTGCTGCTATGGTGCTTGTCCCTTCCCTGGTCGGCCATGTGCCACACACACAGGCTCCCTATGCCTGTTGGGCCACGTGTGCTGCCAGTTGGTCACCCCTGGCCTATAGCAAGCAGATGGAAGAGATGTCCTGATGGCTTCCAGCGCTGAGAAACAAGAACCAGAAACAAGATTTTCTAAAGCTGATTATACTGTACTCAGACTTAACCTGAGTTTGCCTTGTGGCAGTGGGATCTTTTCTCCCCTCCTGTGCACATAACTCCCATTATCCTAAAGAAGAATGACAAGTGCATGTGGTTGAGGAGAAAATAGCTCCCATTGTGTCAAGCTGACCATTTTCTTGTTGTATGTGCTGTTTGCCCAGATTTCTAATCCTAAAAATATAGGACAAGCCAGTTTCCTCACTTTGCATCTTTGATGTGAACCCACACTAGTAGAATATTGCTTAAAACAAGGCATTTTCAGTAGGGCTGTGCAAGGCTTCAGACACAGCTTCGGATCTGGAGAAGCTTCGGATGCTTTGGGGTCCGAAGCAGCACATCCGGGTCGAAGCGCTGGCCTCGTTAGGCTTCCCGAAGCGGTTCGGAGCTTCCAAAGCGGTTCGGAGCCGCCTCGGAGATCCAGCCATAGGGTATAATGGGGAAACAATAAAATATCTATGACTTTGTTGTTTTTTGTCTGATTTGGATGAAGTTTTCCGGGGTGGTAGAATCTGCAGAGAGCATGAAGCCCACCAAGGTTCAAGAAGATCAGTGCAGGGGTTTTGGGGGAACTGCACCCCAAATTCTTGAAAGCCAAACTCATGTCATGTCTAGCCGTTACAACATAGGGGGGTGAAAATTGCAGGGGTGGTAGCCTATGCTGAGGCCACAAAGCCTGCCTGTTTCAAGAAGATTGGTGCAGGGGTTTGGGGGGAATTGCACCCTAAATTTTTGGAAGCCAAACTCCTGTCATGTCTGTGTTACAACACAGGGGGGGTCAAAACTGCAGGGGTGGTTGCTCTTACTGAGGCCACAAAGCCTGCCTGTTTCAAGAAGATTGGTGCAGGGGTTTGGGGGGAAACTGCACCTCAAGCTGCGGACAAGCAAAACTTGTGCCATGGGTGGTGACACTGCCTGTGCTAAGGGCTGTTAAGGGCACAGTGAGGTGACAGCTGCAGGGATGGTGGCCCCTGCTGAGGCCAAGAAGCCTGACAGCTGTCGAGAAGATCAGTGCAGGGGGGTTCTGGGGCCTTGCACTCCTAGCTGCTGACAGACAAAACTCATGACATGGGTGGTTGTGGGGTCTGTCTTGGGGCTGGGAGACACTACTGCAGGCCTGGCTGCTAAGCTACTGTGTTACCAGTTACCAATCAATCATGACTCACTCAGGGACCAGCTCAATACACAGGACCTAGCTACTTTAGCCAGTTAATTGCCATCAATTAGCACTTACAAAACCAGGTTAAGGTGAGGAAAGAATCAATACAAACAATCAACTGCCCCAAGACTGACACAGTCAATCCCACAAGCACCCATGGCACGAGTTTGGTCTGTCAGCAGCTAGGGGTGCAGGGCCCCAGAACCCCCCTGCACTGATCTCCTCAACAGCTGGCAGGCATTGTGGCTGCAGCGCCCTCATAATCCCTGCAGTTTTCACCCCGCTGTGCCTTAACACACACAGGGTCACCCATGTCACGAGTTTTGCTTGTCCGCAGCTTGAGGTGCAGTTCCCCCCAAACCCCTGCACCTATCTTCTTGAAACTTGTCAGGCTTTGTGGCCTCAGTAAGAGCTACTACCCCTGCAGTTTTGACCCCCCTGTGGTGTAACACATAGACTTGACAGGAGTTTTGCTTTCAAGAATTTGGGGTACAGTTCCCCCAAAGACCCTGCACCGATCTTCTTGAAACTTGGCAGATTTCATGCTCTCAGCAGAGGCTACCATCCCTGCAAGTTTCATCCAAATCGGACAAAAAACAACAAAGTTATAGATGTTTCATTGATTCCCCCATTATACCCTATGGCTGGATCTCTGAGGCAGCTCTGAAGCTTCGGAGCCTTTTTTGCAGGATCGAGGTGGAAACCCGGTCTGGAGCTCTGGATCGGATTGCTGCTGTCTGAAACAGCCGGATCGGATCGCTGCCAACTCGCAAAGGTCTAATTTTCAGTTTTTCTGTTTGTTTTGTCCATATTCTCAAATGCAGCTATGGAAGCTGGTTTGCCAGGAACAGAATCTGTAGGAAGTAATGCACCAGAACCTGTTTTGACAGCTCCTTTCCTGGCATAACCCAATATTCATGTTATCATAAAACACTAATACCGCTAGAATTTATTTCTGAATGATCCATAACTACCCAAACTTTAACCGATCAGTTACATGGACTTCTTGTGTGCGTGTGTGTGTGCGCGCATATATAATAATATTGGACAACTAACAGTGAAATGATATACAATTGCATATTTTACTATTGTCAGGGAAAGCTACATTCATTGGACACATAAATTATTGCAAACTAATTTAGTCTTCAGTTTGTTTGCTTTATATATGATGAGGAACAAAAATAAAGGATAAAGAGTGTAGCAAATGAATGCAAGACTAAGTTCTAGAGACATTTGTATAAACCCTACAGTCCAATATGATCGAGTTTTACCTTCAAATACAGAGAAATTCCCAGTAGTCTGAGCACCTTTGTAATGTAACACATTCCATGAAAATTATTTTCTTGACTATTATTATATTCTGCATAAAATTTAAATCTGAGGCTGAAACCTCATCTGTGAGCTGCAACCTGTGATCAGGTATTCAATTAAACAGGGTTAGGCTGGCTTCTTGTTTGAGAAGGCACTTCCAAAGATAATTGAAGTGATATTGGAAGTGGCATAGGGGTTACTATTCCGTGTGCATTACTACTGAACCGC